TATGCGGACGCGCTGCGGTACCACACAGGGCTTCCGGTGTGGGATGCCATTACGGCTGCGGACTTCTACGTGTCCGCCTTCAAGGAACTCAATTCGTGGAAGTCCGAGTGACCTCCACTTCCGGTTTGATAAAGATCAACGAAAGTTGAAGGACAAAACCGTAGTGGAACTTCCCTGGAACTAATGGAGTGTGCTTTCGAGACTCTACGCTGTGCAAGGAAACAATTGAGAAGCAAAGCGGGAGAGCTGGCGAATAGAAGCGGGCGTGGCGACGTCCATGCATTTGGGCCTTCATGCGCCAACCGTCGTGCCTGACGGATCCCGGGAAGGCTTCATTGGCACGGGAGCACGCTCTGCTTTGCAACCGTCAAATGGGAAACCTTTTTTGACTTGGGGGGGGGGTCGACCATCAACAAATTGTGTTATTTTTGCTTTTGCTTTTTGCACTCTGCGCGCGGAACCCTCTGCGGACTTTCGAGGGGTGGCCCTTCAAAAACGCACAGAGGCGCGAGAAGAAAGATGAGAGAACAGAGATAAAAGAAACTAGAGGGGAGAGAAAACGAGAGGGAGCAGAAAGCGAGAGAGGAGAGAAGAGAGAGGAGCGAAGAGGAGAAGCTAATAGAGCAGAGAGGAAGAGGGAGAGAGAGAGACGAGAAGACAGAGAAGGAGAAAGAGGAAGAGGAAGAGCAAGAGAAAGGGGGAAAGGAAGAGAAGTGACCGAGACAGAGAGAGAGAGAGAGAGCGCGAGAGAGAGAGCGCGTTTGTGAGAGAGAGAGAGAGAGAGAGCGAGGAGAGTGCAGGTTTGTTGGCCAATAACGGCAGAGGGTTCATCTAACCTGTACACCCTAAGGCTACACCCCTTCAGGGCCGCTCCCGGCAAGCTGTTTTTCGAGTGAGCCTCAAAAGCCCAAGTAGCGCTATATGCCACGCTCGAAGTTCTGAAGGCTTCCCTCAAGTGCGTGTCAACTCCTTGATTTCTTGGATGAGTCCACCATGAGCAATCCCCTGCCGGAGCTCTGGAGGTCATAAGTTTCGTGCCATCACGATGCAAAGGAATGCCATATGAGCTATACCACTAAAAGGTCCATGTAAGGGATTTATTTATTGGAGTAGAATAAAGTAATAAAACGATGGCTCCTCATTGTGCATTTGGGGGCTTTTGCAGGGCCCGAGCAGGTCTTGGGACGAAGGCAAGGCGGAGCCTCAACATTCTATTTGCTTGGTGAACGGCTCCTGCGAATTAAATAGATGAGAAGCAAGCGGAGGTTTCAGTTCGGACAAACTGTGGCTTCCAAGATCCCAGCTGACAAGTTATTTGTTAGTAAGAAACGGCCATAAGCTTGCGAAGAACAAGTTGCCAATAGTAGCACAAGCCTGTTTCGAAGAGAAGCCTTCGGCTTGGAAGGCGACAGTTGGAAGACTTCGTGTTCCATATGTCCTGAACTGCTGCAGAGGGAGGTACTGTGGATGGACGAAATCCTGCACCACCTGAAAAACCCTGGAACCATGATTCCCCTGTAAATACCAACAAACAGTGGTTGTTTTATGGTTTCAATTGGTGCATAATTTTGTCCACCCACAGTATGGCTAACCCGCGGTCCGACGTTTTTTCTTTTTTTTTCTTTTTCTTTTTCTCGCGAGGACAACCACCGCTTCGGCCAGAACGATTGGCAGAAAGAGTGGGATGGCCACCAGGAGGACTACGAGCTGGGGATGAACCTCACCAAGGACCCGACCCATTGGCGAGGTGAGAGGCCAACCGATTTTCCTTGGTCCAGTGGCGAGGGTTTTAGACGCCAAACCCATTTGTTTAACCTCACCAAGGACCCGAGCTGAGAAAAGCCGATTTTCCTTGGTCCCTTGGCGAGGGTTTTATATACGCCAAAGACAAATTTGTTTGGAGGTCGACTATGGTAAGAAGCAGTGCGGTTTTGAAGGCATCTCTGAATCAATATGTGGGAAAGCGTCTGGAAACTCGGGATTGTGACGCCTGAATGTTGGGCATTGCATTCTTCATTTTCGAGTCGTCCGCAAGCCCATTTTTTGCCGCGTTGGCCATTGGTGCGTGAACGGGCAGAAGGAGTCGTGAGAAGAGCCCAGGGCAGTTGCTACAGTACTGAGCCCCAAACGAATTGTTCGCTGATCTGGCAATCGGCAATCCTCCTGGCCAACTTTCGCGGATTCCCAAATCTCGCACCTTTTCCGAACCTGCGGATTCCGAGCACACTGCTGGGCATGACGGAACATTGCCGAAGAGAATTCCAGGTTGTGCACAAGTTCACTGCTGTCAGGTTTCAGGGTTGGTCGGTTGGGTCATGTGTTCACTAGTAGACTGCGTTGAGTTGATCAGTGGTGGCATGTGGTGGCTCAATTGATTCAAGTCGCGAAGCTTGTGTGTTCAGAGTCCATTGCATGACTTCTAGGCCCTGGAAAGTGCGAATCACAGCTGCGGGTTCTGTCCAAGCCAAAGGTTTCAGAAAACGTCCATTTCCCGCCTTTCGCAGAAATAGCAAGCTCATTCGCGCTGTTAGCATGGAGCACAATTTGTTTGTTTGGAAGCCTAGTTTTCGTGTGTTGAAGTATTCTTGAGCGAAGAAGACACAGGGCCATAGGCAATTCTTTTCCAGGGTGGCCGGTTAATACAGAATTCATGTTGGAGGACATAAGTCCCCGTCTTTTCTCCAACTATGTTTAAAACATAAGAGAGTTTGTACTGCTTCAAAACGGTGCTCACGGAATGGGAAACGGGCTGGTGGATAGAACAAGGGGTGCCCTGTTCAGCATGGCAAGGCAGTGTTTATTGACCGCATGGTTCCCACTTTGAGAATCGATTTTCCAGTGAAGCATCAGCGGAGTTTGGCTTGATTCCCCGTTCGGGCTATGTGAGAGCCAACTTTCCAGGATGAAGAGGCCCTCCTGCTGCGAAAGAAAGAGGCTCAGAAGGAGAAGAAGTCAGTGGCCCTGGTGAAGAAGAAGAAGCTCGAGAAGATCCAGAGAAAAGTACGCAACTCTGACCTTCCGTTGCGTTTCGAGTGGCAAAACCAGGGAAAGCCCATGAGGGCCTTGACAACAGCAGAGATGTTCAAAACTGGGCAACACCATGAATCGCCGGTGCCGAAATGTCATGGACCCCTTTATGAAGCAACAACGGCGTGGCAAACCATGGCACCTGAATCCTCCCACTTTTGACCAGTTGGTCCATTGAGACGCGTGACATGCAATGCTTCCTTTCAAGGGGTCCGTCAGGATTCTCATTTTGAAAGCCTCCAAAGGAAAAGGAATTTCAAGCGCCTATCATTCCCCCTTTCACTTCCCCTTCCACCCTTCCCCCACCTTCCCCCTTCCCCCACCTTCCCCTGCCCCCAGATTCCCCCACCTTCCCCCAGCCCCACCGGCCTCCAGCTTGCACTTTGCCAAGTCTGTGTTTCATGTCTTGGGATGAGTTCGCCGCACTGGCAAAATCCATAAATGCACCAGTTGGACGGATGAAACCCGCATTGAATGCTGGAATTACACGCCTGGTGCGAAGTGAGTGGAAGGTAAGCAGCAGCATCCGATGCTGGGGGTCATCCGCCTGGATTACAACTACCCGCCCGCGGCCGGGGACATCGACTGCCCGGGGAGCTACGATTACGACGTGCTCTTCCGTGTGATTCCTGGCTTCACCTTCGCGATGGCGCAGGAAGGCAAGATGACGGAAGACGTCGAGAAGGAGCAGACGAGCTTTTGTTCCTTTCGGGCAGAAGGGGAGGCGTGAGTACACCAATTGGCGAATTCCGAGCTATGGCGGTTGCATTGCAGCGCATTCATTTTGCACTTGGCTTTGTCTCCGGCGAGTGTAGATGAAGGAAAGGTGTTGGAAGTTGCTGCCGCCTAACAACAGTGGGCATTTTTTTCCCGAAAGCATGGCGAAGGGATCTTCCGCTGGGTTCACTTGAGTTGTTCTCATGAGAGTCATTACAAGGTGTCATTGCAAGGATTCATCAGCATGAAAGTCATTGCAAGGAGTCATTGCAAGGAGTCATTGCAAGGAGTCATTGCAAGGAGTCATTGCAAGGAGTCATTGCAAGGAGTCATTGCAAGGAGTCATTGCAAGGAGTCATTGCAAGGAGTCATTGCAAGGAGCCATTGCCAGGAGTCATTGCAAGGAGTCATTGCAAGGAGTCATTGCAAGGAGTCAATCCAAGGAGTCATTGCAAGGAGTCATTGCAAGGAGTCATTGCAAGGAGTCATTGCAAGGAGTCATTGCAAGGAGTCATTGCAAGGAGTCATTGCAAGGAGTCATTGCAAGGAGTCATTGCAAGGAGTCATTGCAAGGAGTCATTGCAAGGAGTCATTGCAAGGAGTCATTGCAAGGAGTCATTGCAAGGAGTCATTGCAAGGAGTCATTGCAAGGAGTCATTGCAAGGAGTCATTGCAAGGAGTCAAGGAGTCATTGCAAGGAGTCATTGCAGGAGTCATTGCAAGGAGTCATTGCAAGGAGTCATTGCAAGGAGTCATTGCAAGGAGTCATTGCAAGGAGTCATTGCAAGGAGTCATTGCAAGGAGTCATTGCAGTCAGTTGCAAGGCAAGTGCAGTCAAGTGCAAGGAGTCAGGTGCAAGTTGCAAGTGCATGGAGTCAAGTGCAAGTTGCAAGTGCAAGGAGTCAAGTGCAAGTTGCAAGTGCAAGGAGTCAAGTGCAATTGACTTGCGAGGAGTTAAAATCTCTTCTTAGGGCGGCGGGGTAGTGCCGACGACACTACACGAAAATCGACCCTCTGCGGGGATCGGCGTGGTCGAGGTGCAAAAACCCATGGTTTTTTGCGATTTCTAACCTGCTCGCGCGACCCTCTGCGGGGATCGGCGCGGTCGAGGTGCAAAAACCCATGGTTTTTGCGATTTCTGCGGTGCTCGCGCGACCCTCTGCGGGGATCGGCGTGGTCGAGGTGCAAAAACCCATGGTTTTTTGCGATTTCTAACCTGCCCGCGCGACCCTCTGCGGGGATCGGCGTGGTCGAGGTGCAAAAACCCATTTTTTTGCGATTTCTTTCTCGCGCGACCCTCTGCGGGGATCGGCGTGGTCGAGGTGCAAAAACCCATGGTTTTTTGCGATTTCTGCGGTGCTCGCGCGACCCTCTGCGGGGATCGGCGTGGTCGAGGTGCAAAAACCCATGGTTTTTTGCGATTTCTGCGGTGCTCGGCGCAAAAACTCCTCTGCGGGAATCGGCGTGGTCGAGGTGCAAAAACTCGAGGTTTTTTTTGCGACTTTTGTTGTTCGAACTGGTCCTCGGGAGTTGTCTCGTGGTTCGCGCGCCTGCTCCCGGAACCGGCGGGTCGCGGGTTCGATTCCTCCCTGGTCCGCGGGCGGGCGTCGCAAGATGCAACTTGCATTTTAAAGCAACTTGCGCAGAGCAACTTGCGCAGAGCAAGTTGCACAGAGCAACTTGCGCAGACCAACTTGCACCGACCAGTTTGCGCAGAGCGCCTTGCCTAGAGCAACTTGCGCAGAGCAACTTACGCAGAGCAACTTGCACAGAGCAACTTGCACAGAGCAGCTTGCACAGAGCAACTTGCAGGGAGCGCAATTTGCACAGAGCAACTTGCAGGGAGCCACTTGCAGGGACCAACTTGCCGGAGCAACTTGCGCGGAGCAACTTGCGCAGAGCAACTTGCACAGTGCAACTTGCGTAGAGCAACTTGCGCAGACCAACTTGCACCGACCAGTTAGCGCAGAGCACCTTGCCTGGTGCTGTCTCGCGCTTGCTTCACACATGCTTCGTGGAGGGAAAAAGAACGCATTCTGCAGCGTTGGGCCGACCTCGCTTGCGATGTTATGCTTTCGGGCCAACCGTGGTCTAGTTTTTTTTTAAATAAGGAGGGGCTTAATAATGGCGAACACGAGAGACTCTTCGTTTGCTTCTTGCTAAAGAGCCCTCGCTTCAGGTTTGTGAATTATCCAAACAAACATGGAAGTGCACAGACCCCTGGTGGAACACAACTTTCCTCTTTGGAAGAAGGCCTGATCACTCTGTTTCTTTCAGGGTATCATTCAGCTTGGCCCCCCTAAAGACTGGTTTGGCGAGGGAACGCGCATGACTCACGAATCATTCAAGTTGGGTTTATTTCTGGTTTCACGCATTCCAAGGCTTGGTGAGTACAAGAACTCAGGACAATGGGCCCAAAATTGTAGCTTCGCCAACCGCCCAATGAAAGGCACTGACAATATTGAAGCGCCGCCCAGTGCGCCTCCCCCTAGTGCTAAGCAGCTCTCCATGAGAAAGCAGGCCTCGCATGCCGCTGGGGTCTTTCATAATGGTCTTAGACAACCTACATTCTGTCTAGGCTGCTCCGACTGTCAGCCAACGTCAACCTCCTCGCATGGTGCAAAATATCAGCCCATTTTGCCAGCCTTTTAGTGTGGGACTTAATGGTAGTACGCACGGCCATTTTGGAAGCAGGTGTGGACCTGTTTAGCCTACAGGGCAGCACAGCATCTACTGTTGGTCAACTGAAAGCTATTTTCTTGACTCAATGCATGGTGATGCTGGTCGACCATTTCAGCCCAAAGCCCTGAACCACCATTCGTACATGGTTCAGGCACCGATGTCAAACATAACAAGCGGATCCTGTATGTACCAGTAAAGCCAAGCAAAGCTAGACAGGCAAAATCCCCAGCATCCCTGCACGTGACTCAGCTACAAAATGTCCGTCATTTACTTTATGTACGAGTGGTTCATGCACGTGTCGTTATTTTGTTTCTTCTCAAAACGATACGGGGCGTCCTAACCTAAGAATGAATACACCAGATAGTGCAGGATTTAAATGTTCCACCCCCCCCGTTGGCAAAAAGGGGGTCGCACTTGGCCCGAGAGCCTTCCAGCTGGTAGTGCTGTTTCGACAAATTTTGGGCACCATGGTCGACTGTGCCTTGATGATCAATGAGGAACTACTTGTCCGTGGTGGACATCTTGCAATGGGAGGTGATGGTTCGGGTGATGGAGGTCTGCATTGTGGGCTTGACTTCAATCGATATGGGCCTCGGCTTGTTGGTTTCTATGTTGCCTATGATTCTGTCAATATTTCAGACAGTGGCATTCCTCGCATCCTGGCGCTACCACAAAGCTACCGCGGCGAGGATGCAGTGTGGCGTGGTCGTCTCGTATCTGCTCATGCGCAAAGGTGCGGTTCTCTATCTTGATGTCGCGGTGATATCTGTGGCGGTCTCAGGATGTAAGCATGTTTTTGATACCATGGCTCCTCTTCTGACCATCTACCAGGACGCGCTCGTCACGGACGCAGTTCTGGGAGTGACTTGCGCGTATTCGGCATTGGCCAGTTTGGGGTAGTGCTTCCGTTCACTGCGCAGACTACGTCATTGCGTACACGTGGTACTGAACACAGTGCGACTACTTTCAATTGCTTCGAGGCAAGTGGCTAATGATGTGCAAGGTATACTGGCTCAGCTCCAGGTTTGACATGCTCGGGTCATGGTCCACAGCGCGGTTGCACGGGTACAAGTAAGGTCCGGCAGAGCCGGGGGGCGGAAGTTTCAAAGCAGTGAACAACTATAGTTTGGAGAACTGTCCTTGGCCCCTTGCTTCTCTTTCTCTCTCTCTTTTTCTCTCTTTCTCTCTTTCTCTCTTTCTCTTTCTCTTTCTCTTTCTGTTTCTCTGTCTCTTTCTCTCTCTTTCTATCTATCTCTCTAGCTATCTCTACATCTGTTTATTGATCTATCTATCTACCCATCTTTCTCTGCACTTAAAAGTTGCGATGTTCAATCCCCGAAAGTTGACTTCGCGTACTACTTTCGTACTTAAAAGTTGCGATTTTCGAGCCCCGGCTGCGAAAGTGGACTTTGCGCACTACTTTCGTACTTAAAAGTTGCGATTTTCAAGCCCCAGCTGCGAAAGTTGACTTCGCGTACTACTTTCGTACTTAAAAGTTGCGATTTTCAAGCCCCGGCTGCGAAAGTGGACTTTGCGCACTACTTTCGTACTTAAAAGTTGCGATTTTCAAGCCCCAGCTGCGAAAGTTGACTTCGCGTACTACTTTCGTACTTAAAAGTTGCGATTTATCTATAGATCTACCTATCTATCTACCTCTCTATCTCCTATCTATCTATCTCCCTCTATCTATCTAGCTAGTTATTTGTCTATCTATCTACAAATCTATCTATCTCTGTCTATCTCTGTTTCTCTATCTCTTTCTATCTATTTCTCTAGCTATCTCTATATCTGTTTATTGATCTATCTATCTACCCATCTTTCTCTGCACTTAAAAGTTGCGATGTTCAATCCCCGAAAGTTGACTTCGCGTACTACTTTCGTACTTAAAAGTTGCGATTTTCGAGCCCCAGCTGCGAAACTGGACTTCACGTACTACTTTCGTAGTTAAAAGTTGCGATTTTCGAGCCCCAGCTACGAAAGTGGACTTCGCGTACTACTTTCGTACTAAAAAGTCGCGATTTTCGAGCCCCAGCTGCGAAAGTGGACTTTGCGTACTACTTTCGTACTTAAAAGTTGCGATTTTCAAGCCCCGGCTGCGAAAGTGGACTTTGCGCACTACTTTCGTACTTAAAAGTTGCGATTTTCAAGCCCCAGCTGCGAAAGTTGACTTCGCGTACTACTTTCGTACTTAAAAGTTGCGATTTTCGAGCCCCGGCTGCTCAAATCTGTGCTTGACCTTGCTAAAGCGCTGCGCCTGCCACAAAATCTGTACTTGACCTTGCGAAAGTGCTGCGCGTGCCACGAATTTTGCACTTGACCTTGCGAAAGTGCTGCGCCTGCCACAAATTCTGTACTTGACCTTGCGAAAGTGATGCGCCTGCCACGAATTTTGTACTTGACCTTGCGAAAGTTGCGATTTTCGAGCCCCAGCTGCGAAACTGGACTTCACGTACTACTTTCGTAGTTAAAAGTTGCGATTTTCGAGCCCCAGCTACGAAAGTGGACTTCGCGTACTACTTTCGTACTAAAAAGTCGCGATTTTCGAGCCCCAGCTGCGAAAGTGGACTTTGCGTACTACTTTCGTACTTAAAAGTTGCGATTTTCAAGCCCCGGCTGCGAAAGTGGACTTTGCGCACTACTTTCGTACTTAAAAGTTGCGATTTTCAAGCCCCAGCTGCGAAAGTTGACTTCGCGTACTACTTTCGTACTTAAAAGTTGCGATTTTCGAGCCCCGGCTGCTCAAATCTGTGCTTGACCTTGCTAAAGCGCTGCGCCTGCCACAAAATCTGTACTTGACCTTGCGAAAGTGCTGCGCGTGCCACGAATTTTGCACTTGACCTTGCGAAAGTGCTGCGCCTGCCACAAATTCTGTACTTGACCTTGCGAAAGTGATGCGCCTGCCACGAATTTTGTACTTGACCTTGCGAAAGTGCTGCGCCTGCCACGAATTTGGCACTTGACCTTGCGAAAGTGCTGCGCCTGCCACGAAATCTATACTTGACCTTGCGAAAGTGCTGCGCCTGCCACGAAATCTATACTTGACCTTGCGAAAGTGCTGCGCCTGCCACGAAATCTACACTTGACCTTGGGAAAGTGCTGCGCCTGCCACGAAATCTACACTTCACCTTGCGAAAGTGCTGCGCCTGCCACGAAATCTATACTTGACCTTGCGAAAGTGCTGCGCCTGCCACGAAATCTATACTTGACCTTGCGAAAGTGCTGCACCTGCCACGCAATTCAAACCTAGCGAAACCTTCGCGCGGCCGTGCCAATGGTCCCGTCTCCGAGACCGTTCCGAGACCGTTCCGAGACCGTTCCGGGACCGTTCCGAGACCGCCTCCGTACAGGCGTCGCGACCGAGGTGGTTTGCGCACTGTCCGGAAGCCCAATTCACGCATGGCACCAACGTTTCTGCAACTTGCTATCCCCCAGCTCGCAGAAAGTGGACGCAGCACCTTGCGAAAGTGCTGCGCCTGCCACGAAATCTGTACTCGACCTCGCGAAAGTGCTGCGCCTGCCACGAAATCTATACTTGACCTTGCGAAAGTGCTGCACCTGCCACGCAATTCAAACCTAGCGAAACCTTCGCGCGGCCGTGCCAATGGTCCCGTCTCCGAGACCGTTCCGAGACCGTTCCGAGACCGTTCCGGGACCGTTCCGAGACCGCCTCCGTACAGGCGTCGCGACCGAGGTGGTTTGCGCACTGTCCGGAAGCCCAATTCACGCATGGCACCAACGTTTCTGCAACTTGCTATCCCCCAGCTCGCAGAAAGTGGACGCAGCACCTTGCGAAAGTGCTGCGCCTGCCACGAAATCTGTACTCGACCTCGCGAAAGTGCTGCGCCTGCCACGAAATCTATACTTGACCTTGCGAAAGTGCTGCACCTGCCACGCAATTCAAACCTAGCGAAACCTTCGCGCGGCCGTGCCAATGGTCCCGTCTCCGAGACCGTTCCGAGACCGTTCCGAGACCGTTCCGGGACCGTTCCGAGACCGCCTCCGTACAGGCGTCGCGACCGAGGTGGTTTGCGCACTGTCCGGAAGCCCAATTCACGCATGGCACCAACGTTTCTGCAACTTGCTATCCCCCAGCTCTCCTGATTTCAGCTTTTCTCGTAGCTTTTTTCGCGCACATCCATGTATCTTAAAGCTATCTATCTGTCAAGCTGGTTATATGTCAAAGCTATCTATCTGTCATGCTAGTCTTTGGAAAGCTATCTATGTGTTAAGCTGGCTATATGTCAAAGCTATCTATTTGTCATGCAAGCCTATTGGAAAGCTATCTATCTGTCAAGCTAGCTATATGTCAAAGCTATCTATTTGTCATGCTAGCTACCTGTCATAGCTATATGTCAAAGCAGCTAGCTCATTTAGTTCCAGTACTACGGAAGTTTCTTGTTAAACTTCCTTTGACTATGCAGTGCTCCGGCCTGTCGTCTTTAGTTTTTCTGGCTCACGCAGCGCAACGACCGCGCAAGCGGAGATGCCATGATTAGTCTGTTGTGATGTGCGCAAGGGTGTTTGTGATATACATGAGCAATTGGATGTCCCCGCCGCTTTTGCTTTGCGCAGGCATTGCGGCACAGGATCCGCAGAGTGCCCTTGCCGGTCATTGCCCGTTTTGCGGAAGGTGTGCAGCTTTGCGATGCGCTTGCATCTTCAGTTGCAAGGCTTCTTTTGCCTTCGGGCTGTCGTGCGGACTATCTGCAGGTGTCACGCAATATTGCCGGGCACCGCGCAGCTCAGAGACGAAAGGGGAACCAAAAAGGTAGTCTACTGTGAGTTTGTGGACATACGGCGATCGCTACAAATCCAGTGGAGACAATTTTTCCAACGTCCTTAATCATTTAGTCCACTGGGACCACCTCTTTCTCCTTGTAGATTTGAAAGGGTGGATTTTGGGTACCTACTACAAACGTGAATGGAATCCCTGCAAATACGGTGGAATGACAAAATCCACGCCAGGCACCAGTTGGTAGATGGTTACCCAAGTATTCGCAGCGTTTCATGCAGCCTGGTTCCGGATTTTGTTCAGTCAGAGACGCCCAGCTCAAATATCTTCAAAGAGAAACCACAAAAAACCGTTTCTCAGGGACCGCTATTGAAATGGTCATGTGTGCCATGGTCAAACTGCCCGTAACCTGGGCTATGGTCACGATTCCCTTGCCGGGAAACAAAGGGGCTGATGACCAGCTCTACAAATTTTATAGTAGGTTGCCGTAAAAGTTGTTTGCCTCAAAGAAAACTGGGATCTGGGAACGAACGACAGGAGTTCATTGACGGCATCAAGTGGCTGGAGCGCAAAGGCGTGTCCGGCATCACCGGGGACTGCGGCTTCATGATGGCTTTCCAGCCATTGGCCTGCCCCTCGGCGGATCGACGCCCAGGAAGGGGCCCGCCCCGCTGAGGTGTATTTCGGGTTTTTGGAGTGTGTTGGGCTTCATTTTCTTGGGTTCTTGAGATTCCTCCGCATATCATATGGCTGCTTTTTGGGTTCCATGTTAGTCAGCAGAGTACCTCGCATCCATGCCGCAATGGAAGCCAGAGCCTGTGGATTGCTTGTAGAGGAAGCTGGTCCAAACCAGCACATGGGAGGGTGTTAGGGCCCTTGGATGTACAAGTTAGATAGAAGTTTACCATAGCCAGACAAAAACAGAAGCTGGGACAACCTAATCAGGCCGAGGCACGAAAGGAGGATAGAAACTGTTAGAGCTTTGGACATGGAAGAAGCAACGTGTACCCGAGCTGCGTCGATGCGATATGCCCGAGTGTCCTTCAGGCAGTGCGTGGTTATGTTGGAAGCTGGAAACCGAATGGCCGATGTAGCAAGAACTTGGCAAGGATTGGCTTTGGGCAACGCAGGCACATTGGGAGAACCTAACTAAGCCGACACAAGGTTAGGTAGTGCAGCTCCGTGGCCAGGACAAGGACACATTTCGCTCAAACTGGGCTCGCTTCAGACTTCAGATTCTTTTGTGTATGAAGCGTCCTTGGGAATGAATCTAAGAACACCGGCATCCATTGGTTTGGAGCTTCCGGTTTTCCGCAAGCTTTTGTTTGGTTTGCCACGGTTGTTCGGCTTTGGGATGACCTGGCAGGCAAGATCGCCACGGTGCCGGTCTTCATGAGCTCGATGATGCAGTGCCCGATGATCTCCCTGGCCTTTGACAAATACGACAAGGCCCTGACGGCTGGCCAAAGCTGCTGGGCGGGCAGGGGGCGCGGACCACTCGTTTGGATGCAACGAATAAGCACACAGTGGCATGTGAAGGCACTTTCACGGTGGCGTTGAAAGCGCCAAGCCGGAGGGCCACGCAAGCAAAACCAGCAAGCCACAGAACCTGGCTTAAGTTTCTGCTCATTTCGCTTCATTTGCCGTGGTGTTTCCTAAGAGGTGTGCACCTCGTTCAGTGGAAAACCACTCGACTGGGGTTGGGAACCATCCAAACAGAGGAACATATAACACATCCCTGAACGACCACTTGTTGAACGTCATTAAAGTGAGAGGTTCCTCACGTCTATGTACATATATATATATATATATAATATTTATTGTTGAACCGTGTGTGTTTGGCCTCAAGAACATGTGAGTGGGTGGGCCTCCACTTTTTCTCAACCTCTGGCCCTCGACGCCCTACGCTCGGTGCTGATTCTTCGGCAGGTGCTGATTCTGACTGCCAACGACGAGACGCTGAAGCCGCAGAAGCACACCCTGCTGAAGCTCAGCGAGGGGTTCCTGCAACTTTTTTTTCGAGGTGTAAATGATTTCTTGGTGGCTCAACCAGCGATTCATCCGGTTCAACTTAGCTTTTTGGATCTTTAGTTGGTTTTGTGGTTGGTTGTTGGAGAATCTAACCCACAAGTTCAACTTTTAGGGGATTTGAGGACAGCCCAGATTTGTGGTGACATGGAGTGCAACCAACCGAACATGTGGTGGTTTGAAGCTATGTTGAGACAAACCTATTATACCAATAGTGCCCATGTGGTATGCGGTTAGTGATGACATTCCAGTTCTGAACACAACAGATACTCCGCATATGGTCAGACCCAGGGGCGCCCTCGGTTTTCCCAACGTGGAGTTTAAAAGGCCGACCTGCGAATCCCTAGTGGCCCAAGAGCCTTTCGCCCATTGGATGGTCCACAAACACTAAAACAATTTTCTGTGGTTCAAAAAGAGAAGATGCACCTGGGAACTGTCTCCACCTGCGGGGGCCTTGCATTTCGGGGTAAGGAAGCAATGCGGCTTTAACGTGGACGACGCCCGCTTCATGATCGTGGGCTGCCAGCGCTTTGAGCCGCATTATCCGCACTTGACCCACGTGAGAGCAATAAATCCCTGGAAAATGCCTCTGATCCCAGCCGCTTCGAAATTTGTGATCCAGATCATTTGAGAGCCCTCCGGCAGTTGGATTTGACCCTTTGGGCGGATTTGACTCCAGGACAGCTTGGCTTTTCTCATCTCAAGTTGTTCAGCTGCGAAGCTTTTCCTATCTTTTCCTCTGCTTTGGATATGCCCCCTTCAGTCAGTCAGTAAGTAAGTAAGTCAGTCAGTCAGTCAGTCAGTCAGTCAGTCAGTCAGCTCAGAACAGAACAGAACAGAACAGAACAGAACAGAACAGAACAGGCAAGGAAAGAAGTTCTTTGACAAGGCCATTGAGGCATGTGTCCAAGCTGGTGAGTCTTTCCCTCATTTTCAGATTCCACCTGTTTTGATTTTTCTTGGGCGATGAAGGGGATCTGACACATGGGTTTCTTTCTGTCTCGAATGACAGCCTTCGATACGTCAGACGAGGTTCCAGATATCAATCAGATTGCCGTGTAATTTGTTGAAAGCATCAGGTTTTCTGCTTTTCACGCGAGAGTGCCACTGCCACGTCTGAGCACGAATCGCGTGATCTCCCGAGGAACGTGCCTGGCTTTGACGCCGTGGCGAAGGGCGAGAAGGCACCAACTCAACCAGGGCTCCCCCGGGTTCCGAGATCTTGGCCTTGCCATGCTTCAAACCTAGACATTGCCTGGTCGAGTCGATGCGACGGTGTGCAAGCTGTGCAAGGATCAAAGCGGTCAGATGGTTGGCACGTGAGCTGTTGAGACCATTTGCAGAGGTCCTTGGATCCAAGAGTGGTGCATGTAAAGCTTATTCATGAGCATGACTGAAGCGTAACTTGCAATATTAGAAGTGCTGGACTTCAGGCAAAGGAAAGGGTAATGCTATAACATGCAATTGGCAAATTAAAACGACTTCATTAGAGTTTGCGGCACCAACGAAGGCTCCTTTCTTAGGCTCCGTTATTCCCGTCTGGTGACTTGTACCAATGTTGATTTGCCCATATGAAGTGTTTCGCTGCCTCGTCAGTTAAGATGCATCTGTGTTGCATTTCGTTGGCATGCAATCTTGCGCGTATGGCCGTGGCCCAGGTTGACGTTGAGTATGTGACCCCTGGAATCGTGTACATGGTGAAGCAGATCCTGAACCTTGGCCCGAACTCTTGTGTTCCTGTTTTGGTTTCGGAGCCCCGTTTGGTTTTAACGAGAAAGGAATCCAGCCAGAGTCCCCCAGGTTCGAGACAAACTGGTGGATTTCGCTGGCGACGAGAGAATGACCCAATATGAGCCAGGCCTGGTGATTCCCTTTGAGGGATCTCTTGTTCCCGAAGCCTTCTTGGGGACCAGCAAGACTTGCGAGTGGCAACTTGGGACTAGGAGGAAAAGATCAGAGGGACCAGCCTGTATTAGTCAGTCCTATGCTTAAGGAGCGACCCTCCCGGGCCTCAGGCGAACATGACATCATGAGCAAGTTGCCAAAACCAAGGCCTCGGGCAATTCACAGCTCAGAATCTAGCAACGGCTGCATACCCACGCTGTATCGATATGTTGATCCTGGCTGCTTGGGGATGCTGTAAATTCACAAATCCTTACATTCTTGATTGAGAGCGCTTGATGACCTGAGCCCAAACCAAAACTGATTCGGGTAGCCGGAAGGTGGGAGACAGGTTCGATGGGTTTGCGGACTCCATGCATCAGCTTTCTCGAGCTTTTGGCGATTCTCTTCTGTCGTCCCTTGAAAAACGATCCAAGAGGCGAGGTTCCAAACTTTGATTAACCGCTCAAGGTGTTCCACATCCCGAAACCACAAGTTCGCAGATTGTTTTTGATGTTTTTGCCAGCTCCACTGAAGTAGCAGGTAGGGCACAGCCTGAAGGTTATCACAGACAACGTCTGTAATGTCCCTTCAATCCCCTGGATTTCGGTCAATTGATCTTGGTCCCAAGCGGCATATCCTCACGTTCCTCAAGGCGTTTGGACGAGAGTGATCTCAAATGCGTAAACACCTCGTGGCCCCCTTCAAATGGTTGCTTCCTTGCCAAATCAGAACTCAGGGAGAGAAGTCTTTCTTGGTATGTTGAGGAGGGGTGCACGCTTCGGGTGACCCTGGTTTCGTCTTGGCCCGGCCTTTGGGGTCCGAAAAACGCGCAGGGAGCCTTCGGTCATGATGTGAGTCATGGCCGGCCTGTTGCTTGCGGAGGGTTTCGTCCAAGTTTTGACACTCCCCGTGCAGATTTTATGAAGCTGGGGAGCCTTCATATTGCATGGTGTTGAAGGGAACATTTGAAAGGAAACCAACCATTTGTCGGGGGTTCCTATTTGGACACGCCCACATGAAGGGTCACATGAAGATATGACTTGTCCAACACTATTTGTCAATCGTTTTGCAAACATGGTTACATAATTTCCCATGCCCTGTTGTCCACCAAAGGTTCAGTCAATTTAAGCACTTGCTCATTTCATGGCAGTATTCCACTGATTTCCCTTCAACATACCCACCCACCCCCCCCGCCCCCAAAAGAAGGAAAGTGTCCCATTCAAAAGCACACTCCCCTCAAAGGCTCGGCAAATGGCTCTCTCTCCGCAGCAAGCCAAAAGGTCTCAACTGACCTGGTCCCGATTTCAGTAGGTCCGGACGTTTTCGAGAAGCTAACAGGAGATACATATATGTGTGTGTGTGTGTGTGCATTTAGTCCAAGCAATCCACGTAGTTCGGGGGTTCCCATAGTATCTTCCAAATGGTGTGTGTGTGTGTGCGCCCTCAAAACTGTTCACCTTGGTTGAAAGGGAACTCAAAAAGACAGCGCCCGAGTTTTGGGCTTCCTGGTTTTTCACATCACAATAGGGGCAACATGGCTCGCTTTCCTTTCGGTTCCCTTGGAAACCATCCAAAAGGGGCCACCCTCCCAATTTAGACGGCCATATTCGGAGTTCCCCTTTGCCCCATTTCAAGCGAAATCCATCGATTGAGGGTTTGCCCGTGGGCTGAACCTTTCTGTTTCCAATGACTTGGTGTTCACCCCATGCAACAAAGCGCTGCCCTCAGTGCACCTGGCGGAAGACAGGAAGCAGGGCACCTCCAAAATGCTTGGTGGACATCAATCCCCATGTAAATGATATGAAATGATGTCCGACCCCAAAAAAGAATCATGGTCAGGTTAGACACAGCTGGGCTCACTGGTTTAGATCGGTGTTATCACCCATGTAGCATGGAAATTCGTCCGTTTTTCCAAAAGGTCGCCGCCTGTGAATTGACGAACTCCTGCACCACTTTAAAACCATGGGAAACCAAACAGCTTGGTATTCACGTCGACTCAGAAACCAGAAGTGGTGCGAGTACTGAATTTCGCAACCATCCACAGCATGGCTGACCATTGAAACGGAATGATGATGCCCCTCATACCAACAAACGTGGTATTTCTCCCATGGTTTCAACGTGCGAACTGGATTTGACCCATAGCCGCTTCCGCGCCCTTTCTAGAGGGCTCTGCTCGAAGTCGGCGGGATCTAAAACGAGTTCTGGCAGGGATCAACATGCCGAAGGAACACTCAACATTTGCCGTTGACCCAGGAAGAAGCACCCCTCCATCCGCGCCATTTGCCTGGAGTGCACCGAGCTGCCGCCCTACGCGGACGCCCTGCGCGCCGAGACGGCGCTGCCTGCGCCGCGGCCAGGGAGCGAGGGCGGGGTCAAAACGGCATTTTGATCCCTGGGCTGGTGTTCCTTTTTCGCCAGACTGTGGATGGACGAAATTCAATTCGCACCACCTAAGAAACCCTGGAATGATGATTCCCCTATACATACCAATGGTTTCCCATGGCTTCAAAGTGGTGCAGGAATTCGCGCATTCACACTGGCACATTTCTGTTCCATGTTTGTTCCACAAATGGTTCAAATAGGAGCCCCCAAAAAATGACTGGTCTCCTTGTTTCCCGGGTTAACTTACAGGAAAATCTGCAGGAATTGGCCTCACCACTAGGTGAGCTGTTTTGTAGGATTTTTCCAACCCAACCCCTTGAAACAAGGGCATCCACAAAAGACGAGCTGTTCATCTGGACCGCCAGCGAGGTTTTTGATGCTATCACCAACGCCGACTTCTTTATCGCCAGCCGTAGGGAGCCTCCGACGGCGTTTTTTTGACGGTGCATCGGTGGATGGCGCGGGCCCCGTGTTTCTTTGCCGCGGTCTTTTTGAAGCCAAAGTGAATCCTTTTTTGTGGGTTCCCCCCAATTTTGAGACAAACAAACTTCGTACACGTCAGTACTCAGTACTGATGTGTGCAGATCCACTGTCGCGATGGCCTGTGCTGCGACCGTGTCGTGATACCCGTGCTGACAAACTGGTTGCTAGTGAAACATCAAGTGAAGTTGCGGCCTCAGTTTCATGTATGCTGCAAGCTTCACATAGTCAATCATGGCAGATGCTGATATCAAAGGTTGGCTTGCCATCTCATGTTATGATTGTATGATAGCAAAGGCGTTATAACGTCGAATTTTGAGGCCTGTTAAGTGGTCTATTTTGGCGGCATCGCTTTTAGGTTCTCTGCCTCAGGTGTCCTTTTGGTTTGGTTGAACGTGGATGTAGGTTTCAGTTTTGGCACTGGTCACTTACCAGTGGTTTGTTCCAGAACATCGAAGTGATTGTGGAGGTTCGCGAAACGGGTTTCTTCTGTTCCCCCTTTTGAATGCGCTCTTGGAGGGTACTTCCTTCTTCTGGGAAGTACTTTTACCAAGAATCCCAACAAAAGACCCGCCCCTTTTCCGCTCCCTCCCCTCCCCCCCCAGCCCGGGGTTAGCAGTCCCCAATGGGCGTAGGACAATCCGCGGTTCGGCTTCAACCAGTGGCAGCTGGACTGGGATGGCGTCCAGGAGCACTCGCGGGGTCTCCCGCCGCCCAAACACTCGGCAGAGTTTTCCGTCCTGGGCCAATCCGCCCGGGCCAAAGCCCGGGGTCGGAAAATTTTTCGCGAAAATCTCCCGAAAAGAAGCTTTGTGTGGCATCACAGATGTTACAAGGTTGAGAAACCAAGGACTGGATGAGATGTCCTGGGATGTTCTTTCCGGTTCTCGTTGGGGAATGAGTTGGAATGACCTCGAACTGAACCATCCAACTGTTTGTTTTGTTAGTGATCCCCAAGTTCGTTCCCAAAGCCTAGGGTGATTCACTAACTAGCAGGTTTTCCTAGCACATGTCGTGCAGGTTACTTTTGGGTCTCTTTTTGCACCGGTACTTTTGGTGTCCTGTTGATTCAGCCGCTCTTGGACCTGACTGCGTTTCACTCGGCAGGTGCAGCTGAGCCACTTATTCGTAGCATGGAGCTGATTCCTGTGGGTTGGACGTGAGGGAATGCTTCTGATTGGCACGCCAATGTCAACGACATGATGCCAAGGCCCATTCAGTAATTGCTAATGCTGACTCTGCATAGCTTTGGTGGTCCTTCAGACCAGGTGGGGCAGTGTCAGGGGGAATAGGTGCTTTCCCAGGTTGGACCACTCTTTTCAGTTGGTCTCAAAAAGCGAAACGGGTGGACAACTATTCCGGGGATACCCCACTTTTTGGAAATAGGCTTTTGCAAAAGCTCAAAGGGCAACTCTCAGGACTCAGTTTCTCGGTTCCGTACTGGCTAGAGCATTGTCAGGGAAGGTTGGCGTGACTCGACCCCCGATTTGGTTTTGACATGTCGTGCAAGTTCCCGATGCAACGCTGGGTTCTGTTCGGACTCCATTCGAGGGCCAATTGCTAGCTAGGTTTCCGGAGTTTCCCCTTGGGGTGGTTTAAAGGGCTGAAGATCACCTTTTGGTCCAATTTGAACTGGGCTTCTCTTGGGTTGGGTCATGCTCAAAAAATTAAATCTAGGAAGCCAGGGACCAATAGAATCGCGGATTTCAGCTAGGGGGTCATGCAAGGCTTGGGAAGTCAGCCCCGAAGCCTCGTGGCAAGGAGCTAGAGTCCTTGAGTCTCATGGACGAAATCCATTTCGCACCAAGAAATCCATTTCCAGATGGTTTGTTGGTTGTACAGGGTGGTCATTTTCCAGGGTTTCTTCACCCCCAGGACGCCTACGAGTTCGGGCAGAACCTGACCTGCGCACAAGCGGAGAAGCTCCTCAACTGATCGCTTGGATCTGTTGAATCCGCACCTTGCATGAAGGCAAGGGGAATGCGGAAGTACCTTTAACATGCCCAAGGACCATTGCACCTCACAGACGCGCTTCGCAGCGCACAGTGGCTGCAGATGACCCGGTCGTGAAAGCGACAACCAGGCATGTGCTTTCTGAATGAATCGTCAGCGGCAGCCACGTCTAGCAAGGTTCAATCGGGACGGGGCAGGGCAGCGAATTGCTGCACGGCACCATGGAACATGGAGCTGCTTTCAGTTCGGGAGTTTTCATCTCGGAATTTTGGTGCCACTCACAAAGTGAGGAGCTCAACTTTTTCGGCACTGGTGACACCGGTCCTCCAGTATGAGAAACTGTACTGGTACCAGTACCTTCCAAGTGACTGCATGCCCGCATCGCCCGCATGGACCCTGGTAAGAGAAGGCCTTGTCAAAACGTCTTTGGGATCTTTCAGGTTCCATGTGCGCGGGTGGGATGAACATGGAGGGTAGGTTGGCGCATCCTCCGTCCATACCCGCGAAAGCGAAAGCCGGATAAACCCGGGGGGCTGGGGCTCGATTTGGTCAGCGCAATCTGCAAGGGTTGACCCCAAGTTGGGAAGGAAAGGACGGACCAATTTTGGTGATTCATTGTTGCGCCCCTTCCTTGGGGCAGCAAAATGTGTACATCCTAGTACATCCTATTGCCACCCAGATTAGGATGATGTTCCTCAAGGAAGCCAGTCTGTTTGATCCATCGAGATTTGTGCCGTGGATTTCTCGAAAGGCGCGAAGCGGTAGTTTTGTTCTCAAAGAAACATCAAAGCGCTGCTGCACGCAGAGTCTGGCTGTTATCAAGGTGTGTGCAGGGAGTACAGGTGACAGGGAGCCTGCGGTTTTGGTAGGTGCAGACCGCGAGGGGATGTCCTGAGTCCAGAAGATGCAGGCTTCGCTGAGTTGCAGGGATTTCAGTTACGCCAAAACCCAACCAAGAAGAAGCCGTTTGGCTATGGCGGCGGCGATATGATTAACTATTTGAAGAGGCGATGTGCACTACGGATACTAAAGCCTCGAGCAAGCATGGCTGTGTTCTCGTAATCTGGGGCAGTTGGCAGCCCAGCCTTCCAGGAGCAGAGACGAGTCTGCAGGCCGGGTTACGCGATTCTAGGGGAGGAAGAGTGACCATGATGTCGAATCATGCACGGTTCCCATGATTCCCATGATCATGTCCAGCCGGCGCTTAGGACCCAAGCGCGGCCTAGAAGCCTCATCTCCGCCTTAGCAATCACCCAATCAAAAGAGGCATCATTTCTATGGGATTTGCTTCAAACCTCCTTCGAGTCTGCTGCATGGTCGCAGGAACATATGTCAAATCATGTCGGGCCAGCGGCAAACCAGGAAGAGGTTCTGTATTGCGGCTCTTGGCGTGGACCAATATGGGCCCACACGGCATTTTTCTTCAGGGAGGGACCTTTGCAGTGTGATTGGCAAGCAAAGGTTGAGGAGTATTATCAGTTCAAGAATGCGAACAGCCAACAGCTGTAAGTGTGAATTTCAAGAACGGGCTGTCTTAAGTCCCCATGTTTGCGTAGTCCTGTCAAGGCCATTCCTGCCAGTCGGCGCGGCTTCAAACTGAGACCGGCAAACACAGGTGCCACATACACTATTGTTTGAGACTGAGTCGCCAATATGGCGGAACGGGCCAGACGCTACCAGTACCAGTCTGCTTGACAAAAAGGATGGCTGGGTGATTGGGCTGAAATATCTATGTGCAACCTGAACTATATTTGATCCGCAAACAGCGGGGCGCATCAAAACAAATGCCTGCGAGAGGCACATGACTTTACACCCAGCCCTTGCACTCCTGAGACCTTAAATTTTTGAAGGTGAGTTCGCTCGAAACCAGGCCAGGTTTCAATGGCAGCGCAAACCGACCGCTAACCGCATCAGAGCATCCCTTTCAGTGAGCCCTTGGCTGGTGCCAGTGGGATGCAGGCGAGTGCCAGCAGGTTGGACAAGCGACTTCGCTTGGCATCCCGACTTGACCCACAGATTTGCTCCGCTTGGGATATTTTTAACATCGACCCGATTTTGCTAGGCGAGCTTCGCGGCGAGGCATCACATGAATGAAGAAAAACCCTCATGAATCATGCCAACGTTTTTGCATTGGAGTTCGGCCAAACCCACATTTCTCCGGGGAGTGGAAACCAAACCAATGAAAAGACATCGCCCCTTTGCAGTTCACTGTTAATGTGCCTTTTGATTCTCTTTCGGGTTTGTAGCCTTGGACTCTGCGCTCACAGGCTATGGTCCTTCCAGGCCCGGTGTGATCGGCGCCCGGCACTTGACCTCCCTGCCTCCACCTTTGGCTATAGCTTGTTTTTTGCGCTTTGAGACGCACACGCCAAAACTTTGTATATGTTTTTCACTGGTGTTGGCCCCCGAACAAGCCTTTGATGAATCAAGGGTCCGTTGCCAGTTGGTTGGAGGGATTACAATGGTTTGCGCCCCTGCATCAATTGGGAGCCGCGATCCGGGCATCAACATTAGTCGCATTGACCGGCCACGGCAAATTGGAGTTCAGAGGTGTGTGAAGGGCCTGGGTGTGGGACGTGTAGCTTTGAGTTTCCGTTTTTGCTGTACCAAGGGAATCCCGTGATAATGTAGTGGGGATATCCCACGTTCACATCACAGAAGGGGTTACTTCCTGTGGGTTGCTGTGCAGGCCTGAACAATGACACAGGAGAGGAGTTTGGCCATCACTTCTTTCACCAAGTTGCGTGGCTTCCGGCCATGGGCGGCAGAGGTGCTTTTTATCTTGACCAGCTATGCACTCCTTGGTCAAGGAAAAGCCCCCGGGGCCTAAGTTTGCATGGAGTTAAACAATGGTCCACATTTTCCCACGCCCCAGGTGCATGGTGAACCCTCGCCGCATGGTGATCCTTTCCCATTGGGAGGTTGACTGTCTGCTTTTGATGATTCTTTGCCAGCAGTTCACTTCCTTGGCATTTTGATCGCGAGCCTGCCGGATTCCACAGTTTAGGATAGCGATGTCATACGTCAGCTCCCGATCTAAATGATTGGCATTATTCTAGGTTTCTTGTTCAATCCGCCGAAATTGTGGCTTTGGCACACATGTCGACATGTCAAACAGTCCCAGAAGCCTTCAGTAACTTGGACCTCCAAACGGACCTCGTCGTGTTGAAACTTGGCACCGCAGAGAGCCGTTCGCCAGGGCAGCCGCAGGCTGGGTGTTTGGGGTGTTTGGCGCGCAAGGCCCAGACGAATCCCGTGCTCTGTTCCGAGCTGGCTGCAGTGGCTTGAGAATCTTGCAGGCATCCAGAATCCCTTTAAAAGAGTCAGTGTTCGACAAGTGGCTTTGGGTCTTGGGCTTTGGGATGGAAGAGGGCCACGCTTTGGCTTGACTCAAGGAAGACTCTTGGCCAATATGGATGGGAAGAGGGCCAGAAACGTGGAGCACGGGCCGGCTTTGAGAGACGGAAGATGCGGTTAAAGTTGTGCTGGCCAAACAAATTTGTATACTTAAGGCTGAAACCGGGACTTCTAGCACAGGCAGAGAGGAAGATAATCGGAGCCGTGTGATACACACCACAACCTTGGCTCAAGCAAGTCGGATCTGGATTGAAAGTTATCGGGAAGGTGTAGCAGGGTTTGCCTCACTCGGAGCAACGATTCTGCAGAGGCAGCAGCAAAGCTGGACACGAACACGCCAAGGCTTGCTTTGTTCTATCTTTCAAAGGTTGCCATGAAAGCGCTTCTCTTTGCTCGGGACCTTAGTCAAGATCCCAGCTCGCCCTTTTTGGGATCAACGCGGTGTGCCCTGGACATGGACTGATGCAGCGAAGGGCATCTGCGGTTGGTGCTTTTTGGCTTGCAACGCCACCAGCAACCACAGAGCCTCATGGAGAGCTGCAATACAGACAGCTCTCGTGGGCCTCTTGAATGCTGTGGGCTCGTGGAGTCTCTCAAGCTATTGCCAGCCAATTCCTTGCACCTGGTGTGACTTCACACCCACCCAAGTGTTTACAGTTTGCGCAGCCAGTGGTTTGCCAGTTGAAATGCTCCACTTTCACTCGCGCATTCCCCGGTTCCGCCGCCAAACATGCGTGCAACAACTTGTGCCCGGTGCAACCTTGTTGGGCTTTGATTTCTGAAACCCGCGGGAAGCCTAGGGCCCAAAGCTGGACGCAGGGTACCATCCTTCAAGTTGTTGTCCCTAAAACTCGGGTGTTCCTTTGGCTTTTCCCGTGACACCACCCCAACAAAAAGGCACCAGCTCCGGAAGAAAAAAACGAAGCTGCGCCAGGCGCTCGCCGCGAGAGCCCGAGGAGCCCGAGGAGCGCGTCTCCGGAGGAGGTCTGCGGGTTTGGATTGGGTTGGCCACTGGATGTTGAGAGAAGCCATTGGCAAAAGGAAGGGATGGGACCTTAAGGAGATGGCTAGAAGTACTTGCTCTGCTTTTTCCGGAACCCAGATGCACCCGGCCTAGCTCCAGCCAGCATTCCTGAACTTAGGCAGGAAAGGCGTAGCTCGCCAAGCTGCCACTGGTCCATCGGGGCACTCACAAATCTCCCGTAGGAACACACTGAATGTTGACCCGGGCCCAGTTTTGCTTCAAGGAGGGTCGGTCCTGTTTTGCTTGAAGTTGAAGCACAAGGAAACGGTTCATCCACCTCCAAAAAAGTCGGTCCCTAATTTGGAGAAGCACCCCGGTTCTTTTGGCCTTCCCTAAGGATACCAGCTACCACAACTCTTAGGCTCAGGTCATCGCTTGTCGGCGCAGCTTCCCAATCCATCCTAGCAGAAGCATGTGCGCGTGAATGTGGATCATTCCCACCCGTGGATCATACCTACCCTGGGGATGGTTTTTAAAGAACACCAAAGGGAAATCGTTTCCGCTTGCAGGGGTCCCGACACGCTGCGGATAGGGTACCGAATGACAAGGCAATGTGTCGAGCAGTATTCGCTTGAACGCAGTGAGGAACGTTGTGCTTGGTCTTTGTGTTGGGTTTCCTTTTGTTTAGTTGGCAGGCAGGCAAAGTGTGGTCAACTAGCTGCAACATAGATAGCTTCATTGCAGCATAAAACTTTGATTTGCATGCAGATGATTTCTGAGTTGATCAATGGATA